ATATAACCAAGGCTTATTGAATATAAACAGAACTGCTATAAAATAAAGTATTCGGCTCATCTTCCTAGGAGAGAGCTTCTAAGCCCTTGGAATTTTCCCATGATGGAAGCCTTTGCTATTGACAGGTACTCTGGATCACATCTGAATTTATATGGAGAAAATGACTTAGGAGGGGGCTGCTTATGCTGGAGAACAGTCATGTGTTTAGAAAATTCAGCTTCAAGCCAGATAACACCAACTTGGCTAATCCAGGGAGGACAGGGGCTGGAGACTGATATCAGTCCCATGGCCAAAGATTCAATCAATCATGCCTACATAATAAGACTCCAGCCCCTGGCAGCAGTGACAAACACCTTCAATCCCAGCACTTGGGAGGCAGAGGCAGGTGGATCTTTGTGAGTTTGAGGCCAGCCTGGTCTACAGAGCAAGTTCCAGGAGAGCCAGGGCTGTTACACAGAGAAACCCTGTCTTAAAAAAAAGAAAAACAACAAAATAATAAGGCTCCAGGCCAGGTGGTGGTGGTGCATACCTTTAATCCCAGCACTCTGGAGGCAGAGGCAAGAGGATCTCTAAATTCAAGGCCAGCCTGGTAACAGAGTGAGTTCCAGGATGGCTAGGGCTACATGGGGAAACCCTGTCTCAAAAAACCAACCCCCCACCAAAAAAAAAAAAAAAAAAACCCACAAACAAACAGAAGACTCTGGGAAGACTTCTGAATATCAGAGCCCAGCCCAGCTTCTCGGGTGACAGTACACTGATGCACCTGGAGGCTGATATGCCCCAGTTCTAGGAAGAGAGGACAGGGGCAGCCTGTAGTGACCCAGTATCCCTTCATTTGGCTGGTCCCAATTTGTATCCTTTGTCTTTTTTTTTTTTTTTTTTTAAAAAAAAGATTTATTTGTTATTATGTATACAGGGTTCTGCCTACGGGTGTCCCTGAAGTCCAGAAGAGGGCACCAGGTCTCATTACAGGTGGTTGAGAGCCACCATGTGGTTGCTGGGAATTGAACTCAGGACCTCTGGAAGAGCAGTCAGTGCTCTTAACCGCTGAGCCCTCTCTCCAGCCCTGTATCCTTTGTCTTAAGGCCATATGCATAACACTCTGTAAAGTCTCTAAATCAGTCTAGAGAATCATAAAACCTGATAAGGTTGTGGGGACTCTGGCATTTGCAACCAGTTAATCAAAAGTGAGGGTACCATCTGAAGTGGGAACAACCTTGTTGGAAATGATGCCCCTGATCTGTGGAGTCTGTGTCAAACAGTACCAGAGTACCATTGTAGTACTGTAACAATGTATTCACAATCCCACAATCCCACAATCCCCGTCATCCCACCATGTGCATCTACCTGAGAGAGAAAAAAACATATGGCTTTTCATCAAGGGAGAGACTTATGTAAAGATGTTTATAGCAACTTTGTTATTAATAGCCCTGAATCAGAAATAAGAGCTTGGTGGGTGACTAGTACTATTGGCACCCTGGAATTACTATTCTACCATTAACAAAAATGAATGAATTAAGAAATATGCAACATGGATGATTTCCAAAATAATTATGGCAAATGACAAGCTGCACAAAAAAAAAAGACTACAGAAAATCTATATTTTGTGTATGAATGGTGGCACACACCTTTAATCCCAGCACTCTAGAGGCAGAAGCAGGTGGATCTCTATGAGTTCAAGGCCAGCCTGGTCTACAAAGTGAGTTCTAGAATAGCTAGGACTGTTACACAGAGAAACCCTCAAAAAAATATAAATAAACAAAAGCTATATTGTGTGCTTTCATTTTTATGAACCTTTAGGAAATATTACATAATCTACAGTGATAAGAACAGAGAACAGACCTGAGGTAGCATGGAGGGATGGATTATGGGGCTGAGGGAACTTTTTGACAAAGAGTTATAAGATCTTTTAGTTAAAAAATTTAATTCATGTGTCCCAACTCCTAGCCAAGTAGGAAGCTATTGGCAGTTGATGGTTCCTGGGGAAAAGACGTCAGTTTTCTTCATGGGTGTGGCTCCTGGTAGGTCAACCGTGTTCCAGTGGGTGACCCCACATCCATGAGTGTATGTGCAACACGACTTGAGTGTGTTGACTACTTTGATGCCAACTTGACACAAGCTAGAGTCACCTGAGAGGAAGGAGCCTCAGTTGAGAAAATGCCTCTGTAAGATCGAGCTATAGGCAGACCTATAGGGCATTTTCTTAATTAGTGATAGCCAAGCCCACTGTGAGTGGCTCCACCCCTGCACTGGTGGTCCCGGGTTCTAGAAGACAGCAGGCTGAGCAAGTCCTGAGGAGCAAGCCAGTAAGCAGCACCCCTCTGTGGCCTCTGCATCAGCTCCTGCCTCCAGGTTCCTGCTGGGTTTGAATTCCTGCCTTGGTTTCCCTCCAATAGCCTGTGACATGTAAGCCAAATAACCTTCTCCCCTGAGTTGCTTTTGGCCATAGTGTTTCATCACAGCAGTAGTGACCCTGACTAGGAAAGTGGGTTATTAAAAAATAAAATAAAGAGGGCATGAAGTTGGGAGAGGGTGTGTGTGTGTGTTGGGGGTGGTGGTGGATCGAGGAGGAGTTAGGGAGAGGGACAGGGGTGAGTAGAGATTGAAATTCTCAAAGAATTAATAAAAATATTATTAGATGTATTTTTTTTAATTGTGCATGTGTTTGATGTGGGCGTGGTTGCCCATGTGGTGATCTGAGGACACCTGTGTGGAGTCGGTTCTCCTCTTCCGTGTCCACATGTGTTCCAGGGATCAAAGCGCTCTTGACTGCTGAGCCATTTTGCTGGCCCTTGGCTGATGGCTGCGTTCACTATTGTCATTGTAGTCAAAACTTATCAAACTCTATATCTCATATATGGTTTTTCATAGGCTGATCACATCTCTATAAGGCTCTTACAAATAACATGGCAGCATCTATAACAGGTCTAGAACTTTCCCTCTAGTGCCTCACTGGTGGCTTGGTCCTACCCAAGTGGGAACTCCTTTTCTGATCCGCCTCCTGCTTGTTCTTGCTCTGTTGGTTACAATCACTCAGAACCCAGAAAATGGAGTCACTATTTTCTCTCCCACCGAGTCAAACAGAAATTAAATTCTAGTCCTTCTCTTCCCTTACCAGTTCTTAACTCTGAGTGTTCCTCTCCAGGCTAGTTGAGGTGGTCAGTTCCCTCACATTCTATTTCTAACTTAGTCAGCTTCTGTTACTGTCATGAAACACCAGAGGCAAACTGCTCATAAGGAAAAGGGAGCTATTTTGCTCACAGTTTGGGGGGTTCCAGGGTGTGGTGTACCTGGCATTGGACCAACTCTGGTGAGGACCCTCATGGCTGCATCACATCATGGCAGATGGCCATGGTGGGAGCATGTATGAAAGCAAGAGATTGCATTGGACTACAGGGAACCAGGGAGGTGGAGTCCCCACGATCCCTTTTGAAGACACATTCCCAACTGGCCTGAAGACATCTCACTCCTTAAAAGACATCTTACTCCTTAAAAGTCCCATCTCCCAACCTTGTGCAGGGATCCAGCCTGCACCACAAGGATCCTTGGGCGACAAACCACATCCAAACTACAGCAGCTCCATAACTGATTTGTTGATCTTTGGTCTTACTATTCTACCCTATTCCCTCCCTCCCTCCCTCCCTCCCTCCCCTGAGTCAGTGACCTTATGAGTTTCTTGTCTCACACCCAAGAAGGATAAGGAAATATGGACAAGGAGTGAGCAGAGTGGGGGGGGGGGGCTCTCAGGGAGGAAGACTACAGTGCTGTTGTGCCTCGGGGGCTCTTAGGGATCTTATGGAGGGAACTGGATAGAGACCGAGGTCATCTTCATTGAATTGGTCATTTTTGAGCTCATCACAGGCTGAGCTGGTGAGAAATCCACCTGACTTCTACAAGATCTCTGAGCCCAAACAGAGTACCACTTGTCCATTTAGGGGATGGGTCACAGGTGCTACAGGATGTGCTCATGATCCACCACGGGCCCTGTCTTTTCTGTCTCATTAGCTCCTTAAACTTCTCCTCCACAGTCTCTGGACTCTCTTGAATGCTACAATTATTACCTTATGGTCAGTCTTCTTGCCAGGCCACATTCTCCATAAAGAAGGGACCAGGTCTGTTTTGTTAACATGAGTACCAGAAACACTGGTCATCAATACAACCAGCTTTCAGGATTACTAGGATCAATGTAAAAGCATTAAGCAAGTTAGAGTTACCACCAAATCCAACATGGGAGGAAGAGAGGGATCTTGTGAGATGAGGAAGGCTTCCAAAAGGGAAGGCTCATAGGAGCAGGGCCAGACCTTTTATGTGGTGAGGATGAACTGAGGAGAGCATGAAAGTGTACAGCCAATGTAGAGACCGGAGCAGCTCACTCACCTAGCCGATTGGCTTACAGAATGGAAAGACGAAGACAGCGGGAAGTGCCTGGAGGCTAGAACTTGGAGGGTGTGAAATATCCAATTAGTTGGTGGCCAAGGGGAGCCATTGAAGATTTTTGAGCAGGTGAACTACATAATCAGCTAAGCTCCTCCTGCTGATTCCTCCCATTCCCTCCCCCATATCTTCCCTCCCTTTCTCCTTTTGTCCCCTCTCTCTTCCTCTCTTCCTTCCTCCCTCCTC